TAACAGAACAATCTATTAATCAGTTGTGGAGATCCTAATAGTTTACTTCTTTTTAAAATTAAGACACTTAAAGATAATAAAAACATGATAATTCAACCAATCAGCTCAGAGAACACAACTCCTTCAATAGTTAATTAATACAATGGTTTGATTAATTAGTCGAAACTGGTATGTGTCATGTCCAATACTTAGTTCTGAATGAATGGTGTTAGTTGCCATTTTGTTATATGACGATTAATTCAATTGACTCGTGATCTCAACTAATGAAATTACTATAATATTCACAAACCCTCTCCTGATATTATTCAGCATGTGCTCACTAATGACTTGCTGCAAGAGGTATTTCCTGGAGTTCTTGTAAGAAGCAGTGACCAGTGGATTTCAACCTGGTCTGTTGTGAGATAGTAACTCACTGATGACAATGGTGGATGTGTCACTCAATTTCACGGATTAGTTGAAGTTAAACATTAACACTGTTGGATGCCGACTGTTTCAGTGGTCTATTGGTTAAGTGTTCGTGGGCGACATTGATATACCCTGGGTTCAAATCTCGCAATGCGGGGTCGTGGATGCACATTGCTGAGGAGTGCCACAATAGGACGAAACGGCCATCCAGTGCTATCAGGTTTCCAATGTTGCTCTAACTACAAATGACTCGTGATCTCAACTAATGAGATTAATTTAATGTAAATTTCCTGATATTTATTCACACTCGTACTTATCTCTGTTTATATAATCTATATATAACTTATCTATTCGTTTCGCTACCTCTATACTTTGCATCAAGCAAAAGTTTCTAAACATGATGAACATGGTGTATTGTGTAAATGTTTTATTGAGATTCATGAGAATGTCATTTATAAGTTCCAGAAATATTTCAAGTTTAATATGACTGAAATTCCAAACTTAACCCATCGACAATATTGAATCGAAGTTATTACTTTAAATTTGATATATCAGTTGGATATTAATTAAATTGTTACTATTCTTATAATTTGAAGAATTTTCATTAAATTACATAATGTCTGATCTAATGTACTTATTAGCAGATCACATGTACATTTACAAACTTAATAACATATATATTGAAATGTAAATAATGGTATTTCTTTATAGGCTAGTTTATTTGTTATTTATAGTTATTATTGTATAGGTAAAGATGGATAGTGGCTAGCAGTGGAATCCAGGACTTGTGTTTCATTCTATTTGGGACTCATCAGCTGGATGTACCTGCATCCCAGAATGGATGTTCATTCTGGGACTCGATCCATTATATATCTTTGCTTAAAAAGCTTGTGACTTAAAGTTATATTGAGGCAATCCGCACAGCATGTAAATATGCCAACCAGAAACTGATCAATTGCAGTCTTAAATAACAATGGGAAGATATAAGTAAAACAACACTAAATGAGTTTTACTGTATGCGTTGTTGTTAAACACTTATTTTTTTTTAAAAAACTGTTAATTAATTCTATGCAATTAAAAAGTAATAAGAAAGTAGATTGTAGCCTACATATTATTATTATTAAGTTGTCTAATGTTCCATTCTAATATAATCATTCATGAATTTAATTAAATTCTATGTTGGACTCAGTGACAGATCTATTTCTGTCTACCCCTATATATATATATATATATATATATATATATATATATATATATATATATATATATATATATATATCAATTAGAAACGATGTGGAGATTTAAACAGATAATGAATAGTTTTGAATATAGATTGAAGCTATTAAGCAAAAAAATTCATTGAACACTAATCAGCAAGAGACCTTTTCATTTTCACTTAGTAATTAGAGTTTTTTTATATCGTTGACCAATCACCCTCGTAACCGTTATCATGTAACCCTCAACGGTGTTTGAAATCAGAAGTCAAAGAGAACCAGCGACTACAGGTTTATTAGCAGATAACTCAGACCACAAAGCAGTGAGGCGAATGAGTGAGTCAACGAACCGAGAGTGTAGAATGTGTCGAGTGTAAATGTACATATATATATATATATATATAGGGCAATGAATGGATCATCGAATCAATTCAGCAGCTAATAATATAGCTAGTAGAATGAATATGTGCCTAGGCGGTAAGCTATGTTCAAGCATACATATTTCATACAATCACAACAATAATAAAGGTACAATAAGTTGTTATAGTACGGATGACTTTGTCCGCTAAATAAGTTAACAAAAGGGCTTAACCGAATTAAATGAAAACAAACTCAATTGCACGTGAATTGCTATATAAACATTATAATTTTATTATTATTCCGTTTCAAGGAATTAAACAATTATTAGGCGTTGGAGATTAGGAAATATTTTATGTTCTGAGGTCTGTAGTTTCTATCAGATAGTATTAGTTAACAATATGATCTACATGTTGTTTTTGATACTATTTACTTTGTAAAGTTTACAATTATGTCTGTTTATCAGCATAAATCAGAACTGCAGAAAAAAGGGTATGCTATCATGATTTGGAATTCAGTTTTGGTCACACACATTTCAATGAAGCGGAAGTGCTTACCATACATATATATATATTTCTTAAATTGGTAAACTATTGGATATCACGGGAACAGAAATAATAATAACTGACATAAAGCAAACAGTTCTTTTATTCCATCAATATCTATAATGACTATGTGCACGTACAGAATAAAACAAACGGAAATGGATATAAAAACATTCTTTTATGATATAAAGTACATAAATAATTTACTATTAACATAGGAAATACTTAACTCAGGTGGTCCTATAAGCTTAATCATAAATGAATTGATATGAATATGGAAAATGAATAATGTCTTTTGTATTTTAATGTCTTATTTCTGTGACCAGTGGAGCTAATCCGTGTCGGGTAGAGACAGGTATCTACCTCAGTACAATGGAAGTTGGTCGCGCGACTTCGTGTATTAGTTGAAGTTAGACATAAGCACCACTGAGAGCGGGCTCAGTGGTCCAGTAGGTCAAGCGTTCGCGCGCGAAACCGGTGGCGGGATTGTGGATGCGAACTGCTGAGGAGTCCCACAATAGGACGAAACGGCCGTCGAATGCCTCAAGGTTTTCAATGGTGGTTTAACATCAATCGGTTCATGATTTTAATCCAAAAATACCTTTCTACTTAGTCAAACTATTGTATGAGTATAACAAAACTTACGAATTATTCATATCATTTTGGGTCATTAGTTTGGGTAACGATGAAGAGTAAATGGAGATGTTGAAAGAAAACTGTTCAGCGGTTATATTACTATGTATTCATAGCGACGTTTAGTGGAAGGTATCTTTGGTGATATAAAAGAAGAAAGAATGGATCAATGAGCAGACTTTTTTTTACAGTGAATCCATTCTCAAAGCTGCACAAATACATGATATGGCAATCAATAAAACATTTATTCCCATTTGGTATTACTCGACACATTAACGATTTGTAAATTCTTATATATTACCTAGTACTTATCACTATTCCCCACCATTCTTTCCTGGGATTTTTAAAAAATATTTTGCTATATTGCGAAGAGCGCTGAAGGTACTTTCTAAGTTGTGTGGTTAATCTTTAGATATCATTATGAACACAGTTATAGATAGACATCTGAAATCTTTCAAAGTCTTGGCAGATATTATCTTATCTGATACTAACTCTCCATTCAATTGACACCTTTCTTCTAGTAGAGCGAGACGCAGACATATTAAAATCCATGCATCCAGGCAAAAGTACAAAAGCTTTATAACACCGTATCAAGTAAATATACTATGTAATGAACAGGTTTAAGCAGTGACCTAATCGGAGAATTATATTCTTGAAGATGATGTTCATTAAAATTTGTGTAGAATCTTATCTTCTTAAAAATATTTTATTTAGTTCTACATAATTTATTTACTAATTTGATGTGTAGATCAAGAGGAACTTTCCGAAGTATTGTATGCTGAGAACTCCATATTATACAAAAGATATTATTATTATCACTTAATCCAAACACATTAACAAAGGGGTACAGTAAAAAAGCATTAAAATATCTGATACTTACTATTACACTAAAAATTCAGTTGTTAAGTTGTTAGAAATCACTAAAGAATCCTATAATATTCGATAACCCTAGTTAGTTGTGAAGTACCTTGGACATGATAATAAAGTAAATCATTTATACATATGAAATACGATAAAGAACGCAGCTCACTACATTTGATACGTTTCTATTAATCTGGTAGATGACTCAGCATAATGAATCTGTGTCGATCGAAGAGTCTGTATTCACAAACTTTTATTTTATTAACCCTCTTATGGATCTAACTTACCGTTATCTGAAACATTATGGATATAGCTATTGAAATCCCTTAGATAATGCATGTATCAAAAGACCTATGTATGAAGTGATTATGCGCCTCTGAGGATGGATTAGCTGGTAAGAGAATAATGAAAATCCACTAACTGCTGTGATTGAATTAAGACACGGTTGATACTCAATGCATAACGCTATATCCATCTGAGAAAACACAGATTGCCTACCGTATTGTGAATTCGTTTTGGCACAATCCATTTAGTAGAGAATGTTACTAGATAATAGACTTTTTCTCTCCATTAGTAATGGAATAAATAGAACATTTTAGGCTGATATACCACTTCATACTATACTCTGTATCTCGTACGTTGATGAATGAAACTAATAGAATGATAGGTTAATTGGAATCGGAAACATTAGCTAATAAAATAAAACTAGCTTAAATTGACTATTAAACTCAACTGTTGTAAAGTATTTCAGCCACCACAAGTACCCTTACTGAGAATAAAACTGCTTACATTTAGTAAAAAAGCTTTTAAACACTTGAGTTTACTTACTACTTTTAAGTAGTGTAAAAAAACTTCGTAAAGTAAATTACCTGTGATAGTCACTCGCCAAGTTGAGTTCAAATCACAGTTTGTTTCCAGTCTTTGAGTAGATACTTGTATTTCTGGATACAGTCGACCGATCTGTTCAGCGGGATATTTTCATCACTTGGGATATTGATTCTATCATTAAATTCATTGGGTATGGATTGTGTAAACGTTAGTCCGTTTAAACAAGCAGCAGTGTATAATAAGGAATGATTTATATCTATATTTAAGTTGAATGAAAAGAGATTATCTATATTAACAAGTTTAAAGAACATGACTAACGGCTGAATAACACACTAAAATTTCCAAATGACGCACTAAATCCCACATCTTGAAATCTCATGAGAGGTAACATCTACTGAGTGTACCTTAATCACAACTAAAGTGAAATTCGCTTCAATAATTCTCGAGCTGCAACTAATAATTATACTATAACTTGAATCGGTCATGTATGTGCAGTTACTTTATAACATACAATTACTGTGTGATGTTTTCACTTAGAGACGGTTAACTATTTTTATTTGTCTTTTTCACTTCAGATTTATTTCCACAACAACGGTAGCTGCTTATTTCGTTTGAGGTGTGAAGGGACATATAAGATGGATGTGACCATGAACTTATTATTTGAACTTATCAGATTAATCTTAATCCCATGGCGTATATTGCTATTAATTAGTGTTAGCTACGCTTCCTGTATTATGCGAATGAATTCTATCGGTTTACCGACTCGTTGGTTCATTCTTCTTTTGCGCTTTTACAAGCTTCTCTCATGTATCTTGCTCTTCAGACTCCCCAAGCATAAAAAACACATTCAAACTAGATGTTAACGTGCTGATACGCAAGAATGGAATCCATAATTATTACTAATCAAGGTAATTCAAGCATTAAGAAAGTGTTTTGTCTTTGATAGCGAACGGTGTTACAAACTTCCTGTCAAAACAATACAAACAATAGTAAATATTTTTCTTTACATATTTTTTCATGTAAAAATTGCAGTAACATCATATTTCAAGGCAAAACTTTTTCTTAGTTAGTCGGTATGTTCTTGTCTAAATCTCAATTTGTCTCTTAGTCTAATACAAATTAAAAACATCGATTTTGATATGTTTATTAAACGTATAAAGGAATATTTCCTTCCATAGATTTATCATATATTTGTTACCTAAATCTTAGACAATCACAACTGATTTAATAGAACTAAATTTTTGAATAGCCTATTCTTATCTAAGAAGTTTGTTCAATAACTTATAGGAATATTTAAAACACATAGCTCATGGTAAAGATAAATTACAGGCATAATCTTGATATCGATTGTAATAGGTGTTGTCTTTCTCATAGAATAAGGTAAAGTAAAGTTATCATATTTAATCTAGCTTTCACTAAAGTTGCCTTAACCTAGGTGAATACAGATAATCCTTTGTATATATATATATATATATATATATATATATATATATATATATATATATATATATATATATATATATAAATCGTAAAAATATGGACGTTTTGGATAATTCTAATGAATCCCTGTTATAAATAATTTCTCCCCCCTCATTGTTAATATTTCATTTTATAGTTGAATTTACGAGCCAACTGAAGCTAGGCCACCATGGCTAACATCCTGGAAACACTGGACAGCCGTTTCGTCCCATTGTGGTAGTGCAAATCCGCTATCCCACCCCGCGAGAATCAAACCCAGGACCTATCAGTCTCGTGCGCAAGAGCCTAACCTCTAGACCACGGAGCTGACATCCTGGAGTTGCATTGAAAAGCACTGACGAGTGGAGTTCGACCGGGTCTGTTGTGAGATAGTAATTCACTGATGACAATGGTGGATGTGTCACTCAATTTCATGGATAAATTTAAATTAGACACTAACACCGTTGGATGCTGGCCATCTCAGTAGTCTAAGGGTTAAGCGTTCGTGCACGAGATAGATAGGTTCTGTGTTCGAGTCTCGAGAGGGGGGTCGTGGATGCATACTGCTGAGGAGTGCCACAATATGACGAAACGGCCGTTAAGTGCTTCCAGGTTTTCCATGTTGGTCTAGCTTCAATTGAATCATGAATGCAACTATAAAATTACCAAAATCTCCACAAAACCCTTTCTGATAATAATATTTTATTTGTAATAAGTTTACAATTAAAAATCTTGTTGAAAATGTTTTAAAACGTTTATTCTTAAAGTGTACAGTAAAGATAATTCTTACATCAGGATCATAATATGTCTTTCTTGAGAATTCAATATTTCGAATTGTTATTATGATAATCATAGTGACGGTTAAATAAGATGAATATATTGGGTAGTGGGGTTATTGGAGATAAATACACGCTAATTATTTAATCTAATCCTCAGAATTGATGAAAATTCATCATTCAGAATCTACAATGTTTTTATAGAGTTAAATATTATTTTAACCGTCTGGTACCTAAATATGGGAACATTTCAATGCAATCACACTACATTGAAAATACATATTAACTTACGAGATTTGATTTCAATGGTTGTTCTTTTTTGTGAATTTTTCAATGTATACAGGAATGCATTTGATGTAGTTCTCTGTGGAATGGATGTAGTTTCTATTGAAACTTTAGTGTTTTCTGCATAGATTGGTTGTGCACGATGAATATGACTTATATTGATTTGACATGTTTGATTGCCCCAATTAGAAGTACTGTATTGAAATGGTTTAGAGAACTGGAGAAAAATTATTAATTTAGTGGTGGATTTCATTGATTTAAAATAGGAAACAGCTATAACATAATCAGGGAGTGGTTAAATTTATTTCATTTTCCAGCTAACACTTCTTCGGAGTCCGAAAAAGCAAATAGTTGGCAAAATGTCTTGTAAAACAGTGTTGGATTATAAGAAGTAAACGTGTATTCCGATTATATAAATCAGGTTAAGAAGCTTATAAAATATGTGTTTCTTGAATTTGTAGTATAAATATCTGTCTATTGTCAATCTTCGACGATATTATCTTCAACACATTGGTCTAAGCTTGACAACCAAAAGCTTCCCACGCAATACAGTAGAGTGATATGCAAAGACTTTGATTGATTATAATTACTTATTTCATTCCTTTGTTACCAGAATGACTTTTAATGATATCATCATCTATATTTCTACTGAAATCCAATAGGAGTTGGTCACCTTTTACTCTTAGTCCCACCCTGGTAATCAAAAATTAAGAAAATCTTACCCGGAAACCTACACTCTTATCCTACTGTAGTAATTATGTGTTAGTAAGGGAGCGTATCAGTGCCTAACTAGCTTGCCATTTTTAGCATGATGTGAATAACCTCTGATTTGGAATAAAAGATCAGTGATTGTGAGTTTTTTCTGCACATGCGATTTCACTACTTAATCATATTAAGTAGTCAAACATATTTATTTCTGAATTTTCGCTTCTCAACGATTGAGATTCTTTTGAGGAAATGAACCATCTATTTATACTTGAGATTTGAACCATCTTTGATTTTTTATATTTCTAACTTTGTTTTCCATTCATTTAGTTTACATGCATTACACTCCCTTACACCATCAGGAGTAGAGTTATGTTCCACAAATTATCGTAAAATTGTTATTTTTGAAGACTCATCCTGTTTTGTGACTGGATTTTTGATGGATTAGGTAGTCATAAATACCTACGGTTTTAGGTTTCCAAGTTTGTAATGTCCGTTTTAATTTCCACGCTAGTACTACATGCTTGAAAACCTTCTGAAATTTTTGGGATTTTTGTTTATAATTTGATTGTTAAGTTGGAATGATCGTATGGATTCAAGTATGGTGGTCAAGTATGTGCCGAAAGTTTTAGTTTAGTACAAACAGTAAATTTCAAACGATTTATTTTACATTGAAATCATGAACCGATCAAAGTAAGGCCACCATCGAAAACTAAGAGGCACTGAACGGGACTCCTCAGCAGTTCACACCTACGATTCTGCACGCGGGATTCGAACCCAGAACCTTTGATCTCGCGCGCGAGTGCTTAACCTCTAGATCACTGGGCAGGCATCCAACGGTGTTATTGTTCAAAATGTCGCGTGACCATCTTTCATTGTCTTCGGTGGGTAGCTCGCTCACACTCAACACGGTTGAACTTCACTGGTCACGGTCTCTTATTAAAACTCTGAAAACTCCCTCTGAATGTTAGTCACTAGTGAGTACATAAAAATCACTGAAAATCTGTTTTCAACTTTTCTTCATTATATGTTATTTCCATAATAAATGGCGGCTTATGTGTAGTAATGGACGACAGTGTTATGTAAGACTTATATGTGTACTTCGTTTTCTTTCGTCGTGTACTTATACACATATAAAAAACTACTGGACAAATCAGTTTCCCTTTAAAAGCGAAAACGGCGATGAAATTTTCATCCCGATAGACTGAGCCAAACAACTATAGCGTTATACAATTCCAACTAAACAGAAGATCGTTACATACATCTTTTAACAAAATCAAACTAAAACATGATGAAATATAAAAGTCAATTTATATTTGGAGCATAACACTTAAATTTGAATGAAATATGTAAATGTAACTGTTGGGGTTTGATGCATATTTGATTGGTTCAAATCTTGATATCCACTATCACCTACAAAAATATTAGTTTGATAAAAGCTTTTTGGTGTCTAAACTTAGAGGTTAACATAACCAGTACGGTAATATGATTGGCGTGCATAGACGATAGTTTCCACGACTTGGCTTACATTATGTTTAAATTCATTAAAATAATTTGGACATTTATTGCAGTGTGAATCGAATCACTCAGCCGTCATCTCCTTTTTAAGTCTTCACTGTAGACTATTTCATGTACGGCTATTCCCAAATTTTTCATAGTGTTCGCTGCATCAGCGATGGAAATTGTAGTAATTAATCTCTGATGCTGAGAAGTGCCTCAATCTGCAATTATGCAGTACCGCTCAATATTTTACATTATTTGGCTGACTTCTATATATTTCATCTGGTTACATAAAAGAGATAAGAATAGTTGCTTACTTGCACAACTATGTATTTCTCCTCCTTATGTCTTTGAAGTGGAGGAGGTTCAGTTCCAAAATCTTTCAAAAACTTCAGTTGAAACAGTGATATTTCTTTGTCAACAGATCTATGCACAATTGCATCATCCCATATAGGTAAACTTGTCTTATGCTCTAAATAAATATTCTCATTCCATAACAACAAAATACCATGTTTTAGAAATCGTTGCTCCAGAGTTTGAATATAATAATTCACTTTGTTTGATTTACGTCTTGAAGGTTTTACGTTATTCATTAATTGAATGTTATATTTTAAACGAGCACTACTCCATACTAACTTTGGTAAACCTTGAATTTCAAGGGTTAACCAAGTTTCAATAGTGTATATGATTTTCGGAGGACGATGTCGAACATGACATATATAAGTCCCATTAGTAAAGTCAAATTCAGGATTTAAAGTAAATTTTAGTGTTTTACCTAGAATAGAATAAGCAATAACAAGTTTGTCAATTTTTAAATCTATAATAGACAGTTTATCATTATCATGAGGTATTGAACTCTGAATTTCAGATAATTTATAAGATCATATCAAATCATATATATATCTTTTCATTCTGGAAAGGCATATGATGTACACAGTTGGATTTATGTACACATAAGTTGTTTATAAAGTCGATTTGTTCACCATCATGTAGTTTATTCTGTATTTGTTTACTTTTCGTTTACTATTAATTACCCATTATTTTGCCCCCAAATGCCCTGGTACGGCCGAGAGTGGGGAGAGTCCGTTCTTCCTCTCGAAATGCTCTCACATGGTCACGCGTATATAGCCTCTGCCAGGGAAGTTGTACTGACTACCTTCTCGTGGCGGGGGTGTTGTTTAAGAAATTAAGGGGACGAAAAATGAATGTTCGGCGCTTTAACCGGGTTGGTGGACATGGAGAGTCTATCTAGGGGAGTTGGAAAACCCTGATTCCAAATCAATGGTGTACATGGGCTCCAGTATCCTGAAGGAATAAATGGCGTATCAACCAATCGTTGGTCACCGGTTACCATGGGAGTGCATTTCCTTTACGTTGCTCCACTGTCTTGTGGATCAGACCTTCATTTCGAAGGTTCCGGGTGTGGCCCTCCAATAAAACCAGCTGCTTTGGTTTGGGCACTCGGGCAGTATCACAGCTTTGACACATATCAAATGAGATTTGTGTGGCGCATATGTATTTGATGCCTCCTTGTACAAATATCTATGTGTTAAAATAAATAAAAATAAGTAACCCATTTTGTCCCTAATTAATGTTACATCATCTTTAGTAATTTTATACTCCCAGATATATCCAACTGAAAATTCTCTGATGTCATTGGTCCTATTTTGTTGATCACATTTAATCGATTTCTATTCACATTTACAACAAAATTTGTGCCCCTACGTGCAAAATATCACATCTAAATCTCTCATCTTATAGTTATCTCTTCAACCTTAACCGTAACATAAGGCATATTATTAATAATACCATTGATGATCCATTTATTTACTTAAACAATAATTAGTATTTCACGTAAGTGGGGTTACAGTTTTGAAAAAAAAATTATCGAAAATGAAATTATTTTCGTTGGATGATTTGCTTTAATTTAATTTAACTACTTATTAAAAGTAGTTAGAATATATTTTTCGTAAAATAATATATTTATAAGTTTACCTTGTAAACATATCTCAGTTGCATTCGAATGTCTACTTGTATACATCTCACAACGGGAACCAAAATAATCAAGGCAACTTGGATTGGAATAACATTTAATACCACAACAGTCAGGATCTGTAAGAAAAAAAGAAAGGATAGAAATAGGATAATTAATTGAATCAAATAAAAATAACGAAAGAATAAATTATTAGGTAATAAAGAAAATCATCTTTGATATTGTTTTAGTATAGATTTCAAAAAGGGTGATTTCCTCTACACCATTCAACTAAATCATTCTAAAGTTAATTTGTAATTTCGTATATATATCTTCTACAACTATTCCATTGACACAAGGGTTGGAGAAATATAAATTACATTAGATAGACTTAACTAATACTGATTAGATTGTTTCTTAGTCAGTAGTCTTTTGTCACATAACAATTTGCGCTATAAAAGAATAGATGTTTTTACCGCTTTCAATTTTCTCATGTCACTTATATTGATGACCAAATTGGGAAGCAATTTCTTAGTTTCTATGAGAAAAGTGTCGAAAAAGCTTTTTTCATTAGCCACATTTTCTTTTAGTGCAAAACTTCTTTCTACAAACTCTTCTGTATCAATATGCGTCTGTCAGTTTACCTACATTTTTTGTTTTAAGGCAAATAACAAGTAATCAAAGTTTGCGTTTTGAATGTGTGTTATAAAGCAACTGTATCTGCTTTTTTGCAGATAAATAGTGTTTTGGTGGCCTGATATATTTGACTCCAATTAGATAGGATGAATGATTGTTATTGAAATGAACATGTCGTCTATCCTCGCATATAATTATCAACTTAACTCGGGTTACTGCGTAACGAATAAGCCAAATACGAAAATAGATTTTGAATATGTATATTTCATGCATTCAGTGATTTGAACAGGCAATCAGGGAGACAAAACGAAGAGGGAGGAGCGTAGCAGATTGGAGGAGGAGTATGAGCCGACTCAATTTAATCAAACGTTAATTAATATTTATAGTCGGATAGTTATAAGAAGTGCACACACATACACTCATATAAAAACAGACAAGATTGACAAGCGAATAATTAACAAGGTCGAAATGTAGCTTGAGACGAATGGATAAATTGGTTTGTCTAGAAGCTAGAATAAGCTATATGGGCTCGACGTAGAACCAGCCACTACAATGTAAATATATATATTCCAAGAGAACTGGTTGGTTTCTTAATGCATGTATCATTTATATGAATTTGTATAATTTGCAAATAATATCTCTGTGAATGAAATGATCATTTAGTGATTTATCTTTTTTGTAAAACGGCACAATAGGGAAATTTAAGTATATATAGGATACCATGTATGAGAATTCTTAATAAACTCATGTTTTCCTAAAAAAAAACGGTGTTTCTAATCATTAAATCTTCACAAATTGCAATGAAGTCGCTTGATTGAGTATAAATTGTCTCTCTATGCCGTATAAGTCAGTTTGAAAAGGAAAGGAGACAGTGAATTAACCTCAATAACTAACCAATTAAACAAAATATCGTGCTGTTCAACGAATTTTGGTGACTCTTAGCTGACGAAGTTCAGGTATGTCGAGATATAAGAAAGAATCTTTAATCATACCAGATGATTATCCTACTGTACAATGTGTTGATCGGGGCTGAAATTATAAACCACTGGATACTGACTAATAAGTCTGAGATTATTTATTTTACGAAAGTCCTCTTAGGTCCGATACCTGGTGAGATCATGAGTGCGCAATACTAAATCGAAATAGATTTCCGCGCGTCCCAAGTATTTAGTACATCGTTACCTATAATCATATTGTGAAAAAGATCTAAGTTTACAGAAACATAATAATGTAGAAATAATACGTACCATTAGCTTGCCAGATATTTTGTTCAATAGTATTAACGCGCAATAAATTTCCATAGAATATTTCTTCATTAAAATCATGATTAGTTTCAATTTCACCAGGATTACTAAGTAAATTGTTTTGAACTTTCTTTAAATTTGTCTCTGAAAACACTTCAGTTTTACTATTGAAACATGATTGTTTTAAACATGTTTGACAAATACGTCGTTGTGTATCACAGTGCATATCTTTTAAGTATGATTGACTTTCTATAATGTTTTCTTGAAATAATTTATTGACCAATGGTGAATTAATTGTACAATAAAAACTATTTAGTTGAGGAGGTAGATATGAAGCTTTCTAAAATATAAATCAATAAAGTTATAGTATAAAAGAAGAAAATCAATTACTAACAATTAGTTAATCAGAAGGGATTTATGTGGATATTATTAGTAATTTCAATAGTTGAGATCATGAGTCAATTGAAGCTAGACCACTATGACGTGAGACATTATCCAATGGTATTTTTAATTTTTTTCAGTCTTATTGTTACACACACCAAATGGAGTCAATTAAAAGAGGTGGAGTCCTTGCTGAAGAGTCCCACAATAGGACGAAATAGCCATCCAGTGCTTCCAGGTTTTCTATGGTAGTCTAGCTTTAAATGATTCATGATCTCAACTATTAAAATTGGTTAATCGTTTTATAATATTTTTTAAAAAAATATGAATGTAATTATTTCCAAGCATCAAAAAGTGTATTTAAGAAATCATGCAAAATGTTACATTCTAGATTGTATGATGCATGAATATATCCATAGTATTATGAAACAATGTGGAACTAGTGACAACCATGAATTTTCAAATGATTAACTCTTGTTACATAATAATCAATCGTTAGAAAAGATGAAATAGATCAATAAATTGTGAAACTTCTAAACATGCTACTCATTAAGTGATATATATGAATATGATGTTACTTGATTGTTGTTGAAATCTTTGAATGATTATGATTCCTTTATATTAAGAATGTCAATATATATATATATATATATATATATATATATATATATATATATATATATATATATATATATATATATATATATATATATATGGTTTAGGTAATGAGTGGAAGTCAATCATTTGAAAAATTGAGATTATTTAACTTAAAAAACTGTAATCAACTTACTATAATACCAATATAAGCCAGTGTTTCTCAATCATTTATTGAGTCAGTAATTTTTCGTCAAAGTCTGTTACATTCAAAGTCCTTCAAAGGGCAAAAGCAGTAGTCATTCGTATTTAAAAAAAAACCGGAGTTATATGTACAAAAGAAATAACTTTAACCGTTTCTCGTACTTTGGCCAACCTTAGGGTCAATTAATCATTAGTAATTTTAACTATTGAATGACTTGATTTGACTAATGTACTTACAAGACTTCTTAGTCAAACATAATTGTCTCCGTTATCATTATTCATATATGTATGTGCTATTATTATTATAGTTATTATTATTAAACGTCACTGCTAGTATCCCGAATAAATGATTAATCTACTTTGTACTCACCCCGCATTTTTATTTCTTACTAAGTTCATTTAACTTTCTGAACAATGTAGTATCCCACTGAACATTGAATGGAATTTGTAATGACACTATTATTTTTCTCACCCTATCTAACCCATATCTATTGTGATCATAAATCTCATAATTTCGTTTAACGTATAGGCTTATTCAAGTTAAAATTACATATTATTCATCTCGATATTTACCTCTAGACCATTGAGACGGTCGGCATTCAACGGTATTAATGTCTAACTTCAACTGATGCGCGAAATTGAGCCAGCGTCCACCATTGTCTTCAGTGAGTGACTATCTCACAAAAGACCTGGTTGAACTCCACTGGTCACTGTTTCTCACCAGAACTCCATGAAATATCTCTTGAAACCAGTCACTAATGAGGATGTTTTAGTTAATAGTCCCAAATTCCCATGATATAACTTTAAGCGATGTAGTTTGCCCTGAATCTAGCCACTTTTAGGATTACTAATACGGATATATTATTGTAGAATCTGAAGACAATTTACTAAAAAGAACATTCTTCATTCATATATTAGTGTTACGAATATTTTCTTAATTATTCGAATGATGTTGTATACATCGGTAATGAACCATATACATTTTAATGAAAAATAGTCGAATCTATAATCATATGGTGAATTAAAACAATAGGCTGATAAAAACCGCTATGTAACTTCGTTTCTGCTCATAACATGCTTGATTCTAACGTCATTGAATAAATTAAATGCATGCACTTATGTCTCCATATGCCTACATTAGTCTTTGTCTGTTCCCATAGTTACGGTCTTGCTAATTATTTACTGTAAACTCTGAATATTTTTTTAGTTGTATAGATCTTATGAGTATCTAACATTTGTACTGGAAATTGTTATTTGAAATTCAGACATTATTCACCTTATTATAAAGACTAAACCACCCTTTATTCCTAAGTTTTACAACTACTCCTATCCATATCTTATCAATTTTCATATTCATTCACTCGATCTGCCTGTTCACATGAATATCTAAATTATACATGTCTTAAATAAAATCATATTTGACCTTCTCTTTCTATGTTGTATTAAAGTGAATAATTGTCAGCGAATTTATGAAGTGAGTAAGTATAGTTCAATCTTCATGAAGTAATCAACGGACAATAAATAATAGAAAAATAATAATATCCAGAAAACCCATCTGATATTATTCAACATATGCTCACTAGTGACTGGCTTCAGGAGGTATATTCTGAAGTTCCAGTGAGAAGTAGTGACCAGTGGAGTTCAACCAGATCTGTTGTGAGATAGTAACTCACTGAAAACAATGGTGGATGTGTCGCTTAATTCCATGGATTAGTTGAAGTTAGACATTAACAACGTCAGATACTGACTCAGTGGTCTAGTGGTTATTTGCTCGCGCGCGCAACCAATGGGTGCTGCGTTCGAATCTCACAGAAGACGAGGTCGTGGATGCGCACTGCTGAGGAGTCCCACAATAGGACGAAGCGGCTGTCCAGTGCCTTCCGGTTTTCCATGGTGGTCTAGCTTCAACTAACTCATGATCTTAACCATTGAAATAATCAATATTATCAGTTGCTGATTAACAGACTTTTATGGTTTGACTAAACACGATTAAAAAAATCAGTTTTAGGTAACATTTCATATGGTTTGGTAGTATGTTTACTATCAACTACTATGAATCGGAGTTAGTTAACTGAATATCAATAAATCCTGGAAAAATATCAGGGCTACCTGTTACTGCCATCCAAATATTCCAACAAGCTGTCTCTTTGATTTTTGTATTTTTTAACAGAGTAATTAAGTGCACAAACTATTCAGGTGAGTTTGTGAAAAGTTTACGACATTTCACTATACAAGTTAACTAAATGTACAAAAAGAAACTTCTTGGTTGCTGACAATATGCATCGAATTGAATGAACGTTGTTCATATGTTGATTTCTGAATCGATAACATGTAATTGGCAACTACTCAATATGTCTCGTCAGCATCGCTCATCAAATAAGAGAAAAAACCTGTTGAAATACTCTGTCCTGAGAATTCTATATTGTGCCAAAAATATAATACTGAATTAAGCTAATAATATGTATAATAATAATAATATACATAATTTCTTTTTAGTATCCTGCAAACAGCGAGGAGAAAGATTTGAATCGAAAAAGGAAACTCATGACCATTTAAAGAAATATAACTTTATGATTTGATAAGTGAAAAATGAAAGCTTTTAAAAGATGTGAATATTTCTTTAGCTGATTATCGACCCTTAAAACTAATGGTATTAAAATTTATAACTGAAAGTCTAAATTCAAATCATTTTAAGTTACTAAGTGGTTAATAATTAATGTTCCCTTAAATGGAAACTTAAATTTTGATCAAATATTGTTTGAAATGAATTCAAAGATTACCTTATATAGTATCAATTATATGAAAGTTTCTCCAAATTTAAATATTATGTCATTTAATTCATTAATTCTTTTAAACTACTTATAATATAGAAATAGTAGTATTTATAAACTATGAAAACAAAACGGTGTGCATAATTTATATTAGAAGAATCTTGATTAAAAATTCGGTCTGATGAGTATATGTAGACTAATAAAGTACAATGATTTCTTAGAGGAGTTAAAAATTGTTTAAACGACAGTTTAGTTGTAGGTTAAATATACGAATATTTCGGAACAGAAACGTGAAAAGAAAATGTTACTATTTATGTCTTAAAGTATGTGGGCACTAACACTACTTCGCAATATTCCAGTGTATTTGCCTTGGCAGGTACAATATAAACTAATAGATACAACTGAAGGTAACAAAATTTGGATATTTATTCACATTTGACTGTAGCAATCAGTTATTCGCGTGTTACAGGGAGACTATCCTGGCCAATATGTATGTTCTTTTATGTGAAATATATATCCCTAGCGATCTCATTACTTTAGAAACTAATTATAAGGAAGACAGAAACTTTCGTGACCGTAGCACATTCTATTTACTTCATTTTATTTATCTGTTTCCTGAATTTGCTTTACGTACGCGGTTGAAGAGCCATTCGATCAAGTGTCTTCTGTAGCTTATTCGATAGAAGTTATTATTGTTCAAGAATAGACCACTCCATATATCGTTTCGATAAAATTTGAATGTCCAATCACTATATCAATAATTCGTATTCTAGTCGAATTGTAGTGAACAAGAACACAAATGTGAACAGTCGAATGTATTTCAACATAAAATTTCAGAATCACTTAGCAAAATCTGAGAACCATACTGTAAAATACATCATTTGCAAAATATCAGTCAATCGTTTTATACTTCATTGTGCCTTCATTTTCTCACCAATCAATCTCTTTCCTTCAATCTTCATAACCGTCTACCGTCAAGTAATCCCCATTTCATTGATGATACATACTACTTATATCTGTCGACATCAGTAGCATATACACACATCACAAAATCATCTGTAAACACATTATCCAACTTTTAAATTATGTATATTTATTTTGAAATGTTTAATTTTAAAAAGAAGAGTTAAAAAACATTTTCACATATCATCCTATTGAATGTGATGAAGATTTAAGAGGGTTTACATGTACCATTAAGTCTATTTTAATGATTAATTCAACAAAAAAAACAGGCAATTAAATGATTAGAACAACACATATAAGCGAACAATTGTTTTCAATTAGATCGTCATCAGGCTTTACTCTAATATACATGAATATGATTGAATCGCTTCTTTTTTTTCCCTTCATTTAAATAGGAACACATTATAAATACAAAATTCCTTGATTTCGACACAAATGTAGTTTGATTTAATAAATGATATTCAGACAAAATATGTATTTTATAAACTGCATATTTTATATTATTGTATCCATGTAAATGTCAAATGAAGACCATACTTTAAAAATTATTATTTATTTAAAGTCTCTGATGTGTGCTTAATCCCCCCTCTCTCTCTTATACACACACACACACACAAACAAACGAAACTCCATATCGTTTGAAGTCGGACTTCCAAAAACACAAAAATTCAACATTCAATTGATTACTTGATGGATTGAAATTACTTTCATACCTAATTAATGATTTATATGAGTGAACATTTGCCATTCTTTTACAATGGTCTATTTTTTATTAGGATATTTTAAATGTCCAACTGTGTAAATCTAGTTTTTAATTCATTTATCTATCATGTACTAATTTCAACTAAGTCAAGAGAACAAATTATCAGGTAGATACAATAAAGTGTAAGTACCATAGTTTTTTTTTCGTTTTTTGTTTAGAAAATGAAAGAAAAAAGAAAAAAAACTGAACACAACCAATTTTAAATCAATGTAACTGAGAGAAACATGAATGTTTATATATATGTGTGTGTGAGTGGTTTTTTGGTTTGGGTTTGGGTTTCGGCCTTTTTACAATATAAGGCAGGTAACATGCATTCCATTCAATAACGAAAAAAACAAAACAAACCGCATTCATGCAAACACAATTCAGATTTTCATCATTCTAATAAACTATCTTTTTTTTTAATTTTGAGCATTGACAAAACTATTTTAGTTAGATACCAAATGAAGCATGTAAAAAAAGAAGTAAATTTTCAATAAAGAATCATTCTTTTAACTAAAAAGAAAAAAATCAAAAGAAGCGGGCAAAACATTTTCAAAGCATCAATATCCAAGATAACTCACATCTGAAATTAGTATAGCATTATGAAGCTAAAGTATTGAAAACGTTATTATTTATTTATTAAATGATATGGAAATGTATTTTTGTATTAAATTCTGATTTTCAATAATAGTTATAGTCATTTAGTTATGTTTACTTGAATCTTCCTATTGATCATTAGGACTGCAGGTGATCGGTGCATACTGTGGGTATCACTTCGATATTGTCTTAATTCACATGCATTATAAGCAAAGATGAGTAGTAGATAGCTAAAAAAGGTAAAACGATAGCGTTTGAAGTGAACAGTACTGGGTTCGAGTCTCAGGGTGAACATCAATTCCGAGATGCAGGTACATTCAGCTGACGAATCTTAAATCAGACGAAACATGCGTCCTGGATTCCACTGTTAGCCACAATCTATCTATGCTCATATTGTTATTGTCAGCTATGTTCATTCGTTTATAGTTGATTTCAGTTGATTAATTGAAATAAATTGCATTTGCAGATTAATCATCAGAGCATGTTATAAGTTGAATATAACAGATTAATTTTAGGCATTTATACCAAGATTGGACTTGATAGTTTCATATAAATTAAGCATTGGGTAGAGAATTAATAATAAATGTATTTGTTTCTTTTGCACTATTTAAACTTACTTTAATTTAATGTCGGTTTTAGATTTACTCTGAAGAAGTGGTTTAAATTATGTTACGAAACGTCAGAAATAAAATCTTTCTACTCACTGGGATATAATAAAAAATATATTTGAAGTTAGACATTAACACCACTGGATGCCGGCTTAGTGGTCTGGTTGGTTAAGCGCCTGACGCGAGACTGATTGGTCCTGGGTTCGAATCTCGCGGGATGCGGGATCGTGGGTGCGCACTGCTGAGGAGTCGTATACTAGGACGAAACGACCATCCTGTGCTTCCAGTTTTTCTGTGGTGGTCTGGCTTCAATTGACTCATGGTTTCAATCGGTGAAAAATTATATTTATTATGTATTTAATTGTATTCAAATTAACCAAGTATATATGTTCGGAAACTTAGGTATGTTGCGTCATTTACATTTTGGAAACATCTTAAATGAAATTACGATAAATATTCAAATGATTAGATATCTGTATGCAGAAATTGATTCAGGCAAAAGTACTTATAATGTATGGTATACATTATAATGTTATAACATATAGAGATTTTGTTCTCGAATTTGAGTTTATCGATATTACTATTCTCATATATATGAACGGTAAAAAAAAGTTTGATTATGCAATCAAGAAAATTCACATCTTGGGTAGTTTATTTGAAATGACGTTAAATCATACCAAATAAATAAAGGTTATAGAATTTGTGACCCCAAATGTAGTCAGCTATGTATCGGAGAAACGTCTTACTTAGATAGTAGTTTATGACTGGGAAAGTAAATGTAATGTGCCTATTGTTAAAGAACTTTAAATTAAGATGAAATGGACAGCTATTGTTCTTATAGTTTTCCAGCTGATGTCAGCCTCTGATAAATTGATCTTCACAACCTAATACGCTGAAAGAAGCTGTTAGGTGTTGGTTCTATAGTCATTTAATTTCAGTTTACTTCATGAAAGTTCGCTATGAGGATGATTAAGAAATACACTGTTCTAGTGTGTGCTGAAGGATTTGATACTTTTTATACTTGGTTAGTCGTACTTTTGATAGTTTCATTATGTAAAGTTTACTATTTAATGTCTCAGGGTGATTTCATCAATACAATACTTACTTACTTACATCTCTTACCCTTCATGGAGCATAGTCCGCCAATCAGAATAAAACAGAATAACATGATATAACATGATCCAATTACACATCAAAAAATTCAAGCTATACTGTTAAAGTTAGCATTAAGTGAACATGGTAGGATCCTAGATAAGATCAACTCAAATAGAATAGTCTCCAAAAATTTGATGTAGAAATACTTAAAAAGTTTGATTTGGACACATTTCTCGAGTCATGTAAACTTCATCACGTATCTAGATATAATTCGAATAGTCTATGCTATTTTTTTCTTCTTTAAGAAAACTTATCTACTAAATTACTATCACACATCTACAAACACTTAATAATTAACTATTTTTTAAAAATTCAACGTTAAAGATTATATGATGTAAAAACATACTTCAGTGGACAAGATCCAATGAACGTAGATTTCATTATTTATATCTACAGTCTTCTAGTTACTCACATAATCTATAATGTGAATCTTTCTGTTATTTAAATTAGTCATTCATATTGTGACTTACTTTCATCAGTGATATTACTGAGTTTATGGGTTAGCTATTACACAATAATTCATATCATTTCGTTTAGAAAATTGTTGTATAGATAATAGGAATCACAACACAAGAAACTTAATTAAGATTAAAGATTAATAATTTATTATTTTCGTTAAAAATCATATTTGAGGTGGTCTGCTTGAATATCTGAACTACCTGTTCCCGGCATCCAAATATTTTTTATTTGCTTTAACATATCAATTAAATGTATAATCCATTCAGGTGAGTTTGTGAAAAGTTTACGACATTTCACTATACAAGTTAACTAAATGTACAATAAGAATCTTCGTGGTTGCTGACAATATGCATCGAATTGAATGAACGTTGTTCATATTTGGATTTCTGAATTGGTATCATGTAACTGGCAATTATTCAATATTTCTCGTCAATATCGATCAAGATATAAGAGAGAGAAACCTGTTGAAATATATATACATACGTAATTGACTAATGTCAAAGATCTTGTCACTGATTGTTCATTAATCTTTACTTAATGTCGGAAATAGTGGAATCAATAATTTGTAACTTGGAAATAGTATTGAAAAATGTAGACAATAGAAATTTTAATCTCTTGATTATACCAATAAAAATAATAAACTCTACCTGTAATTAAGAATTCAATAAGTCAAAGAATAAGACAACTCAGATAGTTGATGACTTTGTTCTCATATATGCGTAAATTAAACACTTACATTTTATGATTAGTAAAAGTAAATGTGTCACATATCTATGCACAAAATAATGTTGACATTTATACGTGAATATACTAAGGCAGAAAGAGAAAGCGAAGGTGAGAATTGATAAGACAAAAGTTCTTCCTTCTTGTTCTTCTTTTTTAGTTTTTGATTTCTTATCTCAACCTTCCTTTTCTCTCATTGGAATCAAAATGAACGCAAAAAACAAAAAAAAAACAAATAAAAACTTGAAGTGGCAAGTGATAACAGGATGACAAATTTACCCTCCCCCACAAAAAAATGTCTAACTATTCACAGGTAGATTCAAGGATAAGGAAGCTGAATGTGAAAAAGAAAAAAATACTATAAAATTAATTGTCGAAGTGCTGTTTCTTTTAATTTTTTGTTTATATAAATAAGAATTTTAGTTTTATCTTCGTTTAAGTTTTATTGTCTATTTCAAAGTAGTGAGAGGTTAGAAAGAAAACAAAAAGACTCATCTCTTTCATGATTTTTTCTAGCGTAACGTTTGTCACGGTGAATTTTTTTTAATCAATAACAAAAACTGGAATAGACAAGGTATTGATGATGATGCTGATGATGATGGTGTTGGTGATTATTAATCTCCTATTGACATGTCTAGTGGATTTATTTCGGATAAACTTTGAATATTCCCAAAGAGAACGTTAAAAAAAAGGAGGTTTAATCGAAAGAAGAAATAAAAAAAGAAAAGAAAAGATGTGTCGTAAATTCTTTTTGTGAAAAGAAGTTTGCAGTGTGAAACGTTGATTTAATTTTTTCTTTATTTGCTAAGCGTTTATATGAAAATTAATTATTTAAGGAAATTAATTTTAAGATTGATGATTAAGAAATGATAAATCCATTATGAAATGTTTCACTGAATTGTTGTTAGAAGTTTAATAGATATGATAATAAGAAAGTCTTTACAGTAAGTTAGATGGATCTAACAGATTATTTGTAGTTTATAATAGATATTTCTAAGTTTAATTAAACTAAAGACTCGAGCACAATCAATTGCCTGAAAATATTGTTGCAGTACTTAGGAATATTATTAGATACTATTTTTAGTGGTTGAGATTATGAGTCAGTTAAAGCTAGACCATCATCGAAAACCTGAAAGCACTGGATGACCGTTTCATCCTATTGCGGAATCCTTCAGTAGTGCGCGTGATACTGATAGGTCCTGAGTTCGAATCCTGCAAAGCAGGACCGTGGTTGCGTACTACTGAGGAGTCCCACAATAGGACGAAATGGCCGTCTAGTGCTTCCAGGTTTCCCATGGTGGTCTAGCTTCAATCGACTCATGATCTCAATGATTACAATTATAATCAGTATAGTCAAATCATGAGAATGGAATATTTTCGTAGTTTACACTCTGGATAATTCTTAGTTAGCCAAGCGTTGAAAACCAAAAGCACTGAACATCTGTTGCTTCGTAGTGAGAGACCCTTTGGTAGTGGACATTAATTACTTCACTACGACTGTTGGGTCACTGAGCAAGCACTGAAACTGTAGATTATTGAGTTAATGTGTAATCGAGTAAATGATTATTTGTGGTCAATTCACGACATTACTTGATCGTTTTCAATTGACTGCGTCAGATGACTGTCTCACACTATTCATTTTTGATCTTCACTAGTAACCGCTTTTCACTGGAACACATGAAAATACCCCTCGAACTTGGTCGCAAGTCTAAATAAAATCGCGATCAAGATTACTGAATTTTCATAGTTTATATCACATTTAAACAACCAGTGAAGACTAGGAATCACTGAACTGTAACTACATGTTGTGTTCAATATTGCCCGACATATTATACTACATTAAAATAACCACAAAGTCTTCTAATGGACCCAGTAATACAGTAAATGTAATTCATATGATGACTTTTAGAAATATGCACATGGATTTCATGACCCGAAGTATAATTATAACTATGATTTCTGTATTTAAGTCAATAGATAATAAGTTTTCCTTTGTAGTTGTTCTAGGTCTACAAGTAGAATATAAAATGTACTTCCTTGAAATTACGACAACTTATGTGTGATAAGTAATTCTAAATACTTGACTGGTCGCTCTAAACTCCATCACGTTATCTATTTACTTATTGAAATACAGGCACATTCAGCCGACGAGTCCGAAATAGGGTGAAACGCGCGTCTTCGATTCCACTGTTAGTCACTATCCATTTTTGCTTATACAACTTGTGACTTAAGGCAATATTGATGCAATTCGCAAAGGATGCGCACAAACTAACAAGAGACCGATTAATTTCAGTCTTAAATAACAATGAAAAGTGATAAGTAAACAACACCAAGTGAATCAATGAAAAATCTAATTTAAACCCAATCCTATTAGATAATTTTACCTTTGTCATTAGTATTCAACGATATTATGTGATAAAACGTTGTATGTATTGTATACATCTTGATAGAACTAACTGTTGTTTGTTCACATATGTAAATACTTTTAGATAATTGTACATAGCTCATAAATAATTAAGGCATAAACCAAATTCTAACAAAGTGGGTGTATCATTAGAAAAGTTAGAGTTGATCTAGGCAAACAGCATACTAGTATACTCATTATTAACATTATTTAGGCATAATGTTCTTAATTTATGTTAAGTCTGATTAATTTGTCTTTTTATATATTTTTTATGAGTGGAGGGGTTATGATGCGTAATATAATTTGCAAACGATATTTATCATGGATGAACATCAGTTATGTCATTATTGAAAATAAGGGACAGTAAGTAGCTGATTCATTATCGTAAGGGATTCAAAAGCGTGTAAACAGACCTTGTCAGGGATTCAAACTCGGGACGTAAAGATGTTCTTGCCTTTATATTACTTAATTTGAATCAATATGCTTACATTTCCAAATCTACCTTGCTATATTTTTAAAAAAACATAAAATCAAAATTAAGGGTAGCGTTTTGTAGAACGGCAATTGTTCATGTTTATAGTTACCGGTGCGTAGAAAAGTTAATTTTTGTTGTGTTCATAGTTATAAGTGTACAGATTGGAATATTTACAGCAGTGGTTGGAGTCAAACATGAAAACAAAATTTACATTAGCGAAGACGATTTGCAATTTAGATGAAGCACTTTAATGATATTTTGTTTGCTGGGCTATGTGGTTTTAGCGACGAAGCTTATATTGTCCTTCTGTACAAATTTGTCAGCACAAATGTCAGATAAAAGTGAGTTGTTTGAATTTCTTCATATATGGATAACAGCCTGTTATGTGGATCATAATCTTGGTTAATTGTCGCTCCGTCATTCTTTTCATGATTATCTTGACTGTTGTCTCCTTTGATTTGATTTTTGACCATATAGTTATTTATGATTCAATAATTGGTTGATAAGGGGAATTGTTGTCTATATATTGCTGATTTATCTTAGTGCTAAGCTTTCGAAGATTCTCTGATTTTCTATAAATGCCCTTTGTTTAAATTCCCAACACTTTCCCAGTAAAAGGTGTTCAATAGCTATAGTTTAGTTATCATTCTACATAATATCACTGACATAGCAAACTTTTTCTACAGAAGCCAAATCAGAATGATCTGTTCATACATAGGCAATTAAGTTCAGAAGTAAAAGATATTTCTAATATCTACTTGATTTACGAGTTTTTCCAGTATATTCAGTGTTGGTTAACTATAGATTCATTGTTGGGTACTTTGTTATATACGGAATTCATCACGTATAGAGAGCTTTATTTCAGAATATCATTGCTCATAATGTAACATGGATGTGGTTTTCTGTTGAATATAACGTAAAATTAGTAACTAATACCTTCTAGTGACAGTGCTTTTTAGATAAATCTGTAGCATAATGAATAAAAATTTAACAAAGAGAGAGATGATTACTGGGATAATATTCACCTTAAATTCACGTCTGTATCACCGAAACTTATGCAAGATTCACAGCTTCATACATATTTTGAGTTAGAACTTCCTACATATTACTTATTTCTTTTAAACAAAAACTATCTGAATTCTGAAAGATAACGGTTTCATCATTGTTGATAATGAAGGAAGCATTGTTAAAGACGCTTCAACTATCAAAATGAAAATAGCTGAATCTAAAGTAAATGACTTTTTAAGTAATTGAAGATTATTCAGTACTGCGTGTGGGCTTTAATAATATAATGTACTAAATTACTTCATATTTAAACTAAACTATGTTATACATTCTTTGACAAACTGTTCATGCTGATAGCTTTGCATATTTTATTGTAGGATTTTCTCATATTTGAATATAAATAATTAAATTAACCTGTGAACTGAGATTAATCCCTGTGACTGATATAGGTGTTGTTTATTTTCATTAACTGGGTGAATGACCTACGGGACCCATATCCTACAACCACTTATGCCTTCACTCATATCTGTTTTTACTTGAAATATCTTATATATAATTGGTCTTTGTACCGTAATACACAATTTTTCAAGGCAATTGTTATATCTTTTGATTTATATGCATATGGTCCTTTCCATAGACAAACAGTAGTAATCGTTACTCGACTACACTATTCTTATCAATTCATTCAATCATCAAAAAGTCAAATGCTAACTAACAACTGTTTCGTTCCAGTTTAAAACATTACAGTTATAACTTCATAAAAGATTTAACTTCCGTGTTAATGGAGTGAGAATGCTTCATGTTATATATCTAACACCATCAGTGATATTTATTTCACTCTTGATTTATTTAATCTTTAAATTACCACCCATGTAATTGAAATAGAAATAGTTTTTTTTTTTAGGAGGAATCGTGGATGCGCACTGCTAAGGACTCTCATAGTAGGACGAAACGGTCAACCAGTGGTTCCAAATTTTCAATGGTGGTCTAGTTTCAATTAACTCATGATCTCAAGTATTAAAATATGTTATAGTTTACTGATGATCATTGTATTTATCACGATCATTTCAATCAGAATTTGTAGACAATTTGAGATAGATTTTTTAAATTTCAGCGTATTTTTTCCTATATACGTGTGTGTGTATATTTCATTTATTACACTTTAAACTGAAATGGTAAATTCATTTTACAAACAAAAGTAAATGTGTTTATGACACATAATTGATGATTACGAAATGAATAAATATACATATACTTAATAATAGAAAACAAACTCACATTTTGTGTACATTGTCCATTTATAGAACGATCATAAAATATATATCCACTTGGATAATTAGCAGGACATAAACGAGAATTAACATTATTTGGTTGGCATATATGTCTTCTAGCAGTTGTATGTCGATCTAAATAAGGATGCATAGCCAAATAGTATTGTTTAGGTAATGGATACCTATAAAAATAGATAATGTAAATCATTTAATTTTCTAAATGAGAAGGTAAGGTTTCTAATAAAAAGAAAATAGATGTATTAGAGTTAAGTAGAATTAAAAGGATAAGGTTAGGTTTGATGTCTATACACATTTGTCAATATTGCATACCCTTAATTTTGAAAAAAAAGTGTTTCTTTTTGAATTATTGAAAATCTGTATCATTAGCGTTTAAATAAGAAACATACTAATCAAGCATATGCTCACTAGTGACTGGCCTCAAGAAGTATATTGTGGAGTTCTAGTGAGAAGCTGTGACCATTGGATCTCAACCGGGTCTGTTGTGAGATGGTAATTCACTGAAGACAATGGTGGATGTGTCGCACAATTTCGTGGATTAGTTGAAGTTAGATATTAACACCGTTGGATTCCGGCCATCTCAGTAATCTAGAAGTTAAGCGCTTGCGCGCGAGACCGATATGTCATGGGTTCAAATCTTGCGAGGCGAGGTCATGGATGCTGAGGAGTCCCACAATAAGACGAGACAGCCGTTAAGTGCTTCCAGGTTTTCCATGGTGGTGTATATTTCTACAGATCTGGAACACAATCGATCAAGCAAACTATAAGCCATTTAATAAAAGAGAGTGGCTGACGTACAATAAATCTTTAGATTTAGAACAAATTAAAGTTATTCTGTTTGTCTAATTATTTGACAGCTCAGAAAAATTTTTGAAAAAGATTGTATAGATAAAATAAAAAAAAACAAAAATCTGACAGTCAATGAGTTACTGATGCAACCTGAAAGCTTCAAGTCTATTGGAAGCAATAATAAATATTAACTCAGAGATACCCAGAGTCATCTGTATGATAATGAACCAGGATATTACAAAAACATTTGATTTGTAGTGAGTAATTTACCATCTTTTAAAGAAGAAACCAACCATTTATCCAGACAATTGGATTATCAGCTTGTTACCTGAATGATAAAGATCAAATAATGCTACATAAATGTCCTAGGTTTGATACTTATCTAGGTTTTAATTGCACTTTGATACAGAAAACCATCCAATAATCTCAATTTTTCAGCATCTTATGGGTTTGAATAATCATTTCATGATTAAAGTATCTCAGAATTATTTAGGCATTAAACACTTAATAAAATGACATACAGATAAGTTTGGATTAATTTGGATTATAGCTAGCAGTGGAATTCAATAGACGTTTGTCGTTTTGTTCGGGGTTTTGTTAACTGAAGATTGATATTTAGAATTGTAGTTTGATAAATCTACAACATAATCCAAACCCAATGTGAACATTTATTTGACAAGGTAGTAGTATAAAGTGTTTTTGATAAAGAGTTTGATGAATTTCATTTTTTTTTTAGATGACTGTTTATCTTTAATTAAATAATAGGTTGTTACTAGTCATCATTCGAAGATATAAAGATATTAAGGCATATTTAATACGTTTTCATAAAGAAAAGATTGGTTGAAGTTAGACATTAACACCATTGGATGCCGGCTCAGTGGTCTAGTGGTTAAGTGCTCGCGCGCGAAGCCAGTAGGTCCTGGGTTCGAGCCCCGCGTGGTGCGGGATCGTGGGTGCGCACTGCTGAGGAGTCCCATACCAGGACGAAACGGCCGTCCAGTGCTTCCAGGTTTTCAATGGTGGTCTAGCTTCAACTGACTCATGATTTCAACCTGTGAAAAGATTAGATTTAATTTGAAGTCATTGAACACTTTTCTACTCATTCTACTAAGTATTCTATAAATATCCGTATACGCTATGATTGAGATGATTTGGTTCATTTATTTCCAATTCAAACCAATAGAGAAATTATCAACATAGGGTTGTGGAGATTACTAAGTCATTGATTGGAACCTTCAACCAATTGATGTTTGACCACGATTGAAAACCTGGAAGCACCCTTCAGCAATGCGCACCCACTCACTAGTCCCACAATAGGACGAAACGGCCGTCCAGTGCTTCCAGGTTTTCAATCGTGGCCTAACAACAATCTCAATCAATAGAGAAATAATTTGACATTCAAATAAAAATAAAAATAAGTCTGAATAAATATATTGATAAACAAAATGGGGAAAGATTTCACAGGATAGTGCTACTAACAAAAGATAAAAATACTCTCAGTTGCAAATATTTAGAAGCAAATTCATTTTGTGCTTGTATAGAAAGCTAAGTAGAGTTACTTTAACCAAGAGTTTACTAATTCTTCATCTGGTGTTCTTGTATGTTAATGAATCAACACTTATAATCATAAAATGATAATATATTCACAATATATATCTATGTATATAACTAAAATCCAGCTGTTTCGCTGCTTGATGTGGATAGCTTCCGGGGATAGATTAATTATTATGATGTATCCTTATTATAAACAATCTAACCAATGCTTATTTTACTTGGTAGCGATAAGCCTGACCTCGTTAATAGTATTTAACTAACTAGTATTCAAAATCTAATTTCTATAATCTGGATTGTTATTTTACTTTACCTGTCGTTTAGAATGTTCTGTCAAACGGTGCATTTCGATGTCGACCAGTTATTGGAAACTACGGAAATTATTAGTATATCAATATATATATATATATATATATATATATATATATATATACAACCTCCATTTAAATGTGTTCAAAACAAATTATTCTTTCATTTACCGAAATAGGGAATCATTCATGCTGAAAATATCAATTATCATACTCTTCATTTGATATTGTCCGATAGCTTAGGTAACATAAAACAATAGCCGTAATCTATTTAGCTTATAGTCTGAGGTATATTTTACTACAAAAAGGAATTTTTGCAGGTCTGTTTTATACCATAAATGTATGCGCGCGAGCGCTTAACCTCTAGACCAATGAGCCAGTCGGCATTCGACGGTGTTAATGTCTAACTTCAACTAATCCACGAAATTGAGCGACACATACATCATTGTCATCAGTGAGTTACAATCTCACAACAGACCTAGGTTTTCCATTTTGGCCTAGATCCAATTGATTTATGATCTCAACTATTAAAATTACTATTATGTGCACAAAACCCCTTCTAATACTAATAATATGGATGTGTGAATATAATGTGTAATAAAAGGGGTGTTATCAAGGTAATTACGATAAACGAAAAAAGGGTCCATGTGAATTGGGAATGATGGATGTGAAAATTAAGATAGATTTAATCAAAAAAGGAAGGGGATAAAAGGTTAATAATATTCAGTTTAGGTATCTGGTTATCCAGTCGTAGGTCAGAGTAAACATAGATGCTGGAGATACCTTTTATGGATACATAAGTTTGCTTTTCAGGAGTTCATCCAGATGGCTTCGGCTATGTAGTGTAACCGTAATCTAGCTCCTTGAGGTAAATATTTTTTTGGAATTTGATGTAAGACAGAGAAAGCTTCATCGATTTTGATATAATGTTCACTATCTACCAAGTGAGGATAGGATAGTGCTGCTGATCGATTTAGTGACTTATTTTCCTAACCATGCTAGTATATGCTCCCAAACACGGAACGACAAAGTCCTCTAAGTACGGCCTATGTAACTAGCTCCATAGGAGCAGTTGAATTAGTAAACACACATGGAGGAGCCCATCATAGGTAACCTATCCTTGATTTGTTGTATGAGTACTGATTTAGTTGAGAAAGTTATATGTAACTTGTCAGTGTGGAACATCCTTTCAACAAATCTTTTTGAGTTGACGTGTTAAAATATCGCCCACTATATCCCCATTGAAGTTTAGTCTAAGATATAAGGTTTTATTTTTACTGACTGAGTCACAACTAATTAATTCATACGTTTTTAAGAAAATACTAATATACTAATACCAATATTTGTTTCCTATGATAATTGTGAAAATGACAAACAATCACTAGTGATATATCAGTCACCATTTAATAATCTCTACCATGATTTTAATTTAATGTCAATGATAAATTGAAAACTACTTTTGATTACATGTTAATCTTTATTCTAAATTCTCTATGTCTTAATATGCTACTTAAAATAGAGAACCAGAATAAAAAAGGAATTATGCCAATTCGATTAAATTACAATGGGATGATAATTTGAGATAAATTGAAATACTCATAAGAAATATGTAATGAAACTTAAAAAAAGGGATTGATAAATTGAAACATTTCAACAAAAAAAATTGTTTTAAATAAGTGGATTGTATGTTTCAAATGATTATAGGATTGATTAGTATCAGAAGGGCTTTTGTGGAGATTGTAGTAATTTCAACAGTTGAGATCATGAGTTGTTTTGAAGCTAGACCACCATAGAAATAATGAACTAACAACCTTAGATAAATAATAAGATTGAAACCTTTAGTTATATGCCTTATACTACAAATCAATTGTCTGGTTTTTACTATCAAACTCAATGAGCCTTGACTACTGATAATTATTTTTGTTCCAAAGTAAATTCCGTTAGTGAAATAAGATTATAGTGCTTGTGATAATTTAGTCTATTGGTTCTTAATGGTTTTGATTTCTGATTATCAGCTTAAACAGTCTTCAGGTTAGTCAGTGATAATAATAATGATCAATGGATTAACATTTTCCATTACTTTTCAGTGAGTTGTTTTTCAAATTAATGTAAGCGATTTTATCAGATACTGAATGTCAGGGAATTTTGAACTGTATTGTAAAAAGTACCACAAGACTTCTTTATTAAATAAAGTCAATATAATTTACTTTCGAAACACAAACCTAAATGTAAAACAAAATGGGAACATTATGGTGCTTAAATATTTGTAACTCATTTCTTTTGGTAAATTGTTTGGCACCTTCAAACAGTTTAATAAAATATGTATCTTGTAGGAAAAAATAGATGCCTCAGGATTTGAGCTACGTCATGCTAACGAACGTCAATAAGTGTGAAAAACAGCTTTACGGCATTCTGTTAACTACATTTAACTACCTATTATCTGAAAACAATGCACGCGATATTAAATCAGTCTGACTAGTGTCCACATTACAACCTGATTGATAGAATGTAATCAGTACTCAATCATTGTAAATATCTCAATTCCACAATGATCCATTCGTAAAGAAATGATTAGTGCTAACATTTCAGACTTCAAAGCTAGATGATGCTAGTTTAAATAACAGAGTAATTATTAGTCAACTCAAAGATACAAAGTCTTCTTTTTAAATAATTTTAAATCTAATATTCCTGAAAGGTTACTTACTTTTCACCGATCAACAAAATATATTCAATTATTCAATTATTTTTTAATAGTTGAGATCATGAGTCAGTTGAAGCTAGATCGATATGAAAAACTTGGAAGCACTGGACGGCCATTTCGTCATATTGTGAGGCTCCCCATCAATACACATCAACGATTCCTCTTAAAAAACTGTTTTATAAATTATTTGTAACTATTTCTATTTCAATTAGATGATTGTTGGTTTAAAGTCGTGGTCATAAATCTGCACTGCTGAGGAGTCTCACAATAGTATGAAACGGCCATCCAGTGCTTCCAAGTTTTCCATAGTGGTCTAGCTTCAATTAACTTATAATCTCAACTATTGAAATCACTACAATCTTCACAAAACCCCTTTTGATACTAATTATTTTTCAATGATATCATTTTATGATTTAGATGAAAAACTAAATATGATAACCGGAAATTAACATTGAATTCATTTAATAAATTCTATTGTTTAATTATGTAATCGATGATTATATAATTCATTATGAACTGTCAGAAAAGACAATAACAAACAGTTTGGAATTCGTGTTCTCATTCATTATTTCTAATCATTTAGAAATTAAACTTTAATTATTCAACTTCAGGTCATTTAATTAAATAACCTATAATCTTTATAAAACACAATGATTAAACATCTTAATGACATATTAAATTATGGTTGATTTAATTTTAATGAAAGCTGAGTAAACACAGATGTAAATTAATTCCCTTGATATTGTTTTACTTGAATCTTCCCATTGATGTTTAAGACTGAAATTGATCAGTCTCTTATTGACATGTGTGCATTCTGTGTCTATTGCCTCGATATCGCCTTAATTTACAAGCATTATAAGCAATGATGGATAGTGGCTAGCAGTGGAATCCAGTATGCGGGTTTCGTCCTATTTGAGACTCGTCAGCTGGAAGTGAATTAAACTTCACCCCGTTTCACGAGCAAGTGGCTATCAAGAATCAGTAGCTAAGTGGATAACGCGATAGAGTTTGAAGCGAACGGTACTTGGTTTGAGTCCCAGAGTGAACACCAACTCTGGCACGCAGGCACATCCAGCTGACGAGTTCCAAATAGGATGAAACATGCGTCCTGGATTCCACTGCTAGCCACTATCCATCTTTGCTTACAAATGTAAATTGTTTTGTAATTATTTTATCATATTTGATTGCAATTCATTTGTTTATGAATCAAAATCTAAAAGTAGTTCGATCAAGAAGTGTATTGAAAGAATCTCATAAACGAATTAAATAAAGTCGACATATATAATTACCAGCCAATCTCCTTTCCCCCTCTCTCTTTCTCGATATGTGTATATAATACATCCAGCTTTACTTTGGTTACTATACGCTTTAAAAATTAAAACCACACATTATTGAGATGCACTAACATCTCTATTTATTTAGTAATTATTTGTTTAGTTATTTCATATAATCATTATATGAAGCACTAGTTAATTATAACTAAAATTAATTATGTGGAAGCATAATTCAATAGCTTGTTTATGATGAAATTAGTTTTATTTTCACTAATTAGTTTGAATAATGATTATGTAATATTATTGTTTGTTCATCTTAGGTATCATTTAATAGAATAAAATACATTTCAATAGGACAATGAGAAGATGGAGTTGATCTGAAAAATGTGATGTATTTGCGCTAAACATTTCGAACAATCTGGTCACGCATATATGAAAATTAATAAAGGCTAATTAAATGAAAGCTCAAGTCAAAAAGGTAATAAACGGAAAAGAAACAATTTTACATCGTATAGAAAGAATGAGAAATTGTCGCGTTATCCTAGACTATAGATTGACTTAAGGATTAACATGGTAAATTCAAGGTTACAACAAATTGTTTCTGTACACATAAGGGGCTTCAAAACAAATTAGTGTCAAATGATTCGATCAACATGGGAGATAGAAACCATGTTCATCGATAACGAAACATGTAATTGAAACGGTGCACAAAATTGACATTATTACAGCTTTTAAAACGTTGTATAGAAATTGTCAAAGTCGAATTCTCAAGTTTATTGAATTCTTGGCAATTCGTATATTTAAACCCTTATGCGTACAAAAACAATTTATCGTTACCTTGAATTCACCCTTGTAATCCTTAAATCAATCTATGGCCTAGGATAATGCGACAATTTCTTATTCTTTTCATAAGATGTAAAATTGTTTCACTCAACTTTGTTATTTTTTACTTGAACTTTCATGTAACTGACCTTTATTAAATTTCATATAAAATGCCCTGACAAGTATATGTGTGAGGAGTCCCATACTAGGACGAAACGGCCATCCAATGCTTCCAGGTTTTCTATGATGGTATAACTTCAATTAACTCATGATTTCAACTATTAAAATTTCTAAAAATCTCCACAAAACCCCTTCCTCTATGTGTGATCAGATTGTTCGAAATGTAATTTGTGATACTGACTAATTAAATGACTAATTTCCACATTCACTAATAAACTAATTTGACATATTCTACATAGAACTATAGATGATGTACTCATGTGACACTAGTAACTTAATAGTTATAGAAATGTGGTAAAACTCATTAATTTTGAAATCATACAATAGATTTCTACTTTGAATCTCTTCATATTTATGGTGAATTTATGGTGTAAGATAGATTCACATAACCAAAGATTATCTATGGCAATAAGATCACTATGATAACTTTGACTAGGCAGTCTGTAAATGCTATTGATTAGCAACAATCTTATTAATTAGGAAATACATCACTTCCTAATTTATAAGCGTTTTAAATCAAATTAATCGATAGCGAGATACCATATATGTATATATACAGAGAAAGATAATTAAGTCATTGTGCCATAACAGTTTTAATTGTACTAAATTAAAGAAACGTATAATAATAAATGAAATTACCTACCGACATGCTGTTTTAATGATTGTCTCAAGTGGTTTACGCCAATGTTGCATATTCGACTTTCTTGAAGGATCCATAACAATTCCATTATCACTAGCTAAATGTTCAACATCTTCATATTCCGGTAGTAATCTGATATTTTTTACATTAATGTGGACACTAATCCCAGAAGGATATGCCTAATAAAATAGAAGATGAATTGAATAAATGGTTGATTTTATTTCTATATACTTTATTTTCGCACATTTACAAACATGCAAAATACAATTCAGTATGAATGCAAATAAAGTTAAATAATTTCGAGATTCTTAGTAACAATGCTGAAAACAACGTGGAACTATTGGTAGATCCTCTTTTTGTAGTTTCCGAAACCTGTATGTAAAACCATTCTTCAACTATAAACAAAACAGTCCTTACTCTGCCATAGCAGAGTTAATAGGGTTAGAAATACTTAATGAAATCAGTAACACCACTTAGATTATCAGTCTGCTCTGTCATTCCCTAAGCTCTACAATTGTCACAATTGTCTGTGAAATAATGTGAAAGAATCGGTTGTTCAAGTCGTTTATGCTTGTCATGTGTATACCTTTTATTTGGTTATTAAAACAGGTCGTCTTAATTATATCCTAAATTCAAATACTTGTGAATCGGTAAATTTGACACTAAATCTCATTTACTTTCTAGACTTCCTAAGAAATATTTTTTTATATCAAAAGGACTTTGTGGATATTATAGTAATTTCAATGGTTGAGATCATGAGGAGTCCCACATTACGACGAAACGGCTGTCCAGTACTTCCACGTTTTCCATGGTGGTCTAGCTTCAATTGACTCATGATCTCAACAATTGAAACAGTTTTTGTCATAACTACTATTTAAGTATTTAACCTAATTTTTAGAAGGTACTTTCAAAACAATCTCTGAATAAATATATTTTAGTATTAATATGTACATTTGATGTTTTATCTGAAAGCGATTGCATTACTTATATTTAGATTTATAGGAAAACCGTTACATGAAGTTATATTCAATTCATTATGTCCTTAACTATACAATATCGCGAAATATGATTGCCAAATTTAAATACTCTGACTTATACGATCAAACTAATGACGCATACACCAGTACGAGTAGCCCAAAGTGTCGATCGGTCCTTTCTCCGTCTAGCTCTGCCTGTTAAGTTCAAAACACCAACCTCAGCTGCTGCGATACAAATAATAAATTTCAAACATACTTGATTTATATACACGCAAAGTCAGACCATATCACACCATAAAATAGAAAGTAACATTTGAACAACATCAAACGAAAAATGGGTGTGAGTATGAAGAACAGTGACCAATAGATTGAGAATAAATTAAGAATAGTAAATTATATAACATTAACCAATAATTCAATTAAGAGCTTATAATAAGAGGAATATAAACATGTATAGTTCTGTCATTTGTGGGCTCGACAAAAGACTAGCCATTACAACATGATTAACCAAGTTTTTTATATGATGAAAATTGTAACTTAACCGGAAGCAAAAGTAAAACCATTCATTTTCTTCAACACAAAAAAAGAAAAAGGAATGCATTATATTAGTTCACCAGTCAATGGAAAAACAAGAGAAATATATATCCCAACTATTGACGAAACTTTTGAAAAATTGGAAACAGTGGTTTCTATAGATCACTATATTACAATCAAACAAATTTGAGTTAATAATCAAATATAATGTAATATCTCTTTTGGATGTTTATTTCAACAATATTATATATCAGTATGGGTTTTTATGGATATGATAGTAATTTTAATAGTGGAGATCATGAGTTAGTTAAAGCTGGAATACCATGGAAAACTGTAAGAAACGGACGTTCAACTTTTTAGTGTGGGCCCCCTCAGCAGAACGCATATATGATCCTGCTTTGCGAAGTTCGAACTCAGGATCTATCAGTCTCGCTCGCGAACGCCTAACCACTAGACCACCGAGACGGCCGGTATCCAATGTTTAACTTCAACTAATCCACAAAATTGAGCGACACATCCACAAATGTCTTTATTGAGTTGCTATCTCACAACAGACCCGTGTAAACTCCACTGGTTACTGCTTCTCACTAGAACTCCAGGAAATATCTCTTGAAGCCGGTCCTTAGTGAGCATTTGTTGACATATATATTTATATATTCAGTGAACATCAAAGGCAATATTTAATATTTCATAAGTTTATCTTTCTGGTTGAATAAATTTTGCCTGTTTTTTTTATCCCACTGCATCCAACTCTTTGTTGTTATTATTATTATGGTTATTTGTTGTTGATATTTGATTTAATTAAAACATTTTTGTTTGTTTGTTTTCTTTTCTACAGAAAGTATCAACATCAACAAAAATATAAAACCAGAAATGATAATTTCAATATTGTGGTTGATTGGCACACGTTAAAAAAGCATTCATTGCTTACCATTACTATTATTACTATTGTTGTCATGCTTTCCTATATTACTTTTTATACTTATATCTAATTCTTAACTTTCTATTCACCTTTTTCTTTCGTTTCTTCTCTTTTTTTTTCTTGTTTTATTACTCTAAACTTTAAAATATTGAAATATTATTTGAAAAAAAAAGAAAATAGAAGGTGATTTTATGGTTTGGTTTGCTTATGTATTATAGTTAGTGATGATGCTTTTCTATTTTGAATAGTGAGAAATAGATTATCAATTGCTTTCAGTTTATTTCTCTTGCTGGTTTATTGTCCTTATAATAACAATAATAGTAATAGTAATAATAATAGTGATTTCACTCTATTTTTGATTCATTAAAATTCCAATTTTCAGTAATGGTATTTATTATTCAAGATGACACCAAAGAGTTACTTCCTCTATATGTATGTATGTAAGCATCTTAACCTATTTATGCATATGCTCAATGGGTTATACATAGTGAATTATTGAAATTTCATTAATAAAGAGTATATTATATAATAGCGAGACTTTTGATTAAAATTATAAGAATTCAGAAGTGATAATCAATATTGTTAAGTGTATAACCGTCTGTTGAATAATTTTACAAGTTATATAGAATCATCTAATTCATTAATAAATAGTTTGGTTACTTTTATTATGAAATGAATAAAATCTAAATAAAATTTCATGATTTTTAATTTCACTGGTTGAGATCATGAGTCAATTGAAGCTAGACCACCATGGAAATCCTGGAAGCACTGGATGGCCGTTTCGTCATATTGTGGGACTGCTCACCAGTGCGCATCCACGAATCCGCCTCACGAGATTTGAACCCATGACATATCACTCTCGCACACGAGCGCCTAACCACTAGACTACGGTGTTAACATCTAACTTCAACTAATCCACGAAATTTAGCGACGCATCCACCATTGTCATCAGTGAATTACTATCTCACAACAGACCCGGTTGTATATTGAAATATTGATTATGGTATCTTTTTATTAGTAAAATTATGTTACTAGAAGTTTGTTACCAACAGGGTTCTAATTTATTCACTTATTTTTCGCTATGAAAACATTTAATCTTACACTTGGTGTTGTTTTACGTGTAACTTCCGATTGTTATTTAGGACTGCAATTGATCAGTCTCATGTTGGCATATGGGCATCTTGTGCGGATCACCTCGATAAAGCCTCAAGTCACAAGCCTTATAAGCAAAGATGGATGGTGGCTAGCAGTGGAATCCAGGATGTGCGTTTCGTCCTATTTGGCACTCGTCTGATGGATGTACCGGCATCCCAGAGTTGATGTTCACTCCCGGACTTGGAACCAGTACCGTTCGCTTCAAACTCCATTACGTTCTCCACTTAGCTACAGAGTGAACATCAACTCTGGGATTCAGGCACATTCAGCTGACGAGTCTCAAAATGTGCATCCTGGATTCCACCGCTAATCACTACCCATCTTTATTTAACGTTACAGTCAATGTATCATTGTATACATTAGGTTTATGATGTTGGTTGTGTAAAAATCGGTTTCGCCACTTTCAGATATATACATATGGTTGCGCATCTGGCTCTAAATAATTATAGAAAACTGATTTAAAGTTTATGTAATGTAGTTAAGCTGATCTCTTTGGACAACATGGCAGTATAATATCGAAGACAAAATCTATTTAGGGTACATGCAATTCATGTTTGCATAGCAATATATCAACAATAGTAAGGAAATTTGATCTTATAAACACAGCATAGTTAATGGATATCGATTAAATCACTATATGAGTCTGTGACTCATCTTATGTATCTTAGCATTTAATACAGCAAATAAGTATACAGAAATATACTAGCAAACACAGGATATTGAAATCGTGCATTAGAATAACTGAAATAAGACTAGTAGTATTAACAAGAGCATAAATATAGTTCATAAAGTTAGAATAATCCATCCATCATATACTTTATCTGATTTTATATCTACTCAAAATAGAATGAATTTACACAGACGTATTTTAAAAACAATGGCCTTACACATTTGTTATCAAAGGCTCCATTTTTAAAAGTTCCATGTCAAACACTTTTAAGATTGATGAACTATCAAACGTTTAACCTCAATGAAAAGTGTTCTGATACATTTCACTATAAACAATCTTAATCAAATTCATAGTTATTGGCGTAGAATCTTTTTTTGTCTATTTCATTGGGTTATATTTTGAAAATGTCATAGACGTTAATTTCGGAAAATAAAACTATCTGATAAAAGTTAATAGATGAAACTTTAATAGATCCCATATTAAATAATGGATATATTCAAATTAATCATTATCAATTCATATTTTATCGGGACGACAGATTCAACGAATAGATAAAAGTTTTTCAAAGGTATTTCATCTAGTTGGCATTTGTGTATTTTAACCTAACCTAATGCTATATGATAATTTTGTTTGTTTTAAAACAGTCATATTTCAAATAATTGAAATCATGAATCAATTGAAGCTAGATCACCATGGAAAACCAGGAAGCACTGGACGTTCGCTTTTTCCTGGTATGGGACTCCTCAGTAGTGCGCATACACGTTCGCGCCCTCTCCACGAGATTCGAACCAAGGACCAATAAGTCTCACGCGCGAGCGCCTAAACATTAGACCACTGAGTTGGCATCCAATGGTGTTAATGTCCTGGAGTTCTAGTGAGAAGCCGTGACCATTGGAGTTCAACCAGGTCCGTTGTGAGATA